ATGCTGAGCATGAATGAGCGTAGGTTGCTCAGCATCTTGCAGGATCTGCCTTATAAATGTTTGCACCACACCAGTTGATAGCACTGCTGTCTCTGTGCCTCTGATGCACTAATTAGTGATGCCCATGGGGATTTAAAGGACTAGGTGCTATGACAGTTTTCGTATCTCCCTGGAGAATGTGATGTTCACTGTAGGTTCCAAGCTCATCAGCAAAAATGCAGAACCCTCTCCTGGTGTAGTGGCAGGGATTTGTGAGCAAACACAGTTGGGGAAGGGAGCTTCTCAGCCTTTGGGTATAGAGCCCTGCCTCTGCAGGTCATCATGTCCTGTCATTCCATTCCTGTTTGCTTTTAGTCATTAATAAGGAGTGAGAAAGAGGTAAATGAAAAGAGAGAAAAAACTTGGGAGAGCAAGCACATTGTGGCAGATGAAAGGAGCAGACTCCTTCAGTGTGAATGCTCTGGATAACAGTTTTGGTGCAAAACGGCATGTTTTTGCTTTTGGTACAAAATGGCATGTTTGTGTGTCTTCTGTCTCGTAACAGAGAATGGGAAGACACTGTAGTAATTCTTTCTTTCCTTTGGTCTTTTGAAGTCTAATCTCTTGGGTCTGGTTCTATTGATTTGATGATCCATTTGTTACACAGTCTAAAGCTTTTTAACTCTCAGGAAAAATGACCAAAAGATGAAGTTATCTAGACCCAGAGCACATTAAAGTGGGAATGAAAAACTTTTGAACTACAGTCATTTAAACTTTAATGAAGATTCTGAAAGTGGACGTAATTCTAGCTATTACAAAAAAGGAGATCTTGGGCAGGACTAATATCTTGGAAGCAGAAGCCTTCTTATGGCACATGCTATTAGTGAAGACACAGCACTGCCAGGCTTCAAAGTCCCCATAAAAACTCATTTGAGTCATAGGTAAGAGCTTCCATTTACTTCAGTGGGCCGTGGATACTGCTCCACTTGCAGAGTCTTAAGCCTTTGTGTTATCCCAGATCACTGCTGTAGAAATTATTGTAACAGCCAACAACAGGGAGGCTTACGGCTCCTGAACAACAGGCAGCAGGTGAGCTCTTATGAGTAAGATCTTATTTTCATGCAAATGTCCTTGGTAAGTGAGAATAAGGAACTGGAGAAAAAATTACCTTGAATAGGAGATATAAATGGAATTGTTTTTCAATTGAGATTTTTCAGTGTATGCCTTTATGCCTCGGATAAGACGTTTATTGCGAGGCAATGAATTAAAGTGAATCGCTATTGATAGTAATGTCCTGTCATAATAAATCCAACCTCTTAGATATGCATCAAGAGGTATTCTCCTGAGTCCTCACTGAATGTACTATGGTTAGTAGATGGCCAGAGGGGAACTGGGGGCACAGACTATTTGGTATCATCACAATCTTACTTCCACAAGCATCCTGCTTTGTGGGATTTCATTAACTAAGTCATTAGCATTAATATAGCCAGTGTTAACCTGCTATGCTTGGGTAGTCTTCTGGGATAATGGGTTTCTTCTACCTGTGTGAGTTAGGATGGGAGATGATAGTGTGTCATTAGTTCCTTGAGGCATTTCCAGCCTGCCACTGAGGAGACTTAAGTGTGGTGTTCCCCATGTGTATGGTATGAAGTCTGGCCCCACTGAGCCAGTGACAGAAGTCCCATTGCCTTTGAAACATCAGAATTTCATTATAGCATGTAAACTCCTTTGTATCTTATTTCACAGTATTTACATACTGCCCTGCGAGACTTTGGGTCCCCCAGCCTGTGTGAGACTTTTCAGCAGTATCATAATACAAAATGGTATTTACACATAAACATTTCCATTTATTTTGTGTTCTGAGCACAGGGAAATGCTGTGGTATCTTTACATTTTCCACACCATGGTGCCTAATCTACTAAGAATGACAGCATATTTCTGAAGCATTTTGATCTGTGTGTGCATGTATGCATACATATGTTTGTCTTTTGCTGTGTGTTTGCTGGTGTAGTTTTATCTTTTAGTGACACAAATAAGGATATATATTCTAACGATATTGTAAGCATATAAATTAGGGTGGGTTTTGCAGTGTTCACGGGAAGTATTTTCCAGAATTGTTGTTCTCTTGCAGTAATACACATTGTAATGCTTTTCCAGCTTACAAAAGGAAAAAAAATGGAGCAAATTGTGTGTAAGTAAATAACATTCCTCCTCACCCTTAAGTGTATTGCTGTCAGCTGATATAATAGGTTTCTCACCGGAGTTGAAGCAGATGAGTGGGCTCCAAATCCTGAAGGGAGGCAGACAGCATAGCTATTTTGGTTTTAGATTTCAAATGGTTTTGAGGGCCTGCCGTCAGACGGGGAGAAGTCCTGGGCTTTGATGGTTGTTAAATTGTAGAGTGTGCGTTTTGACAACCCAGCAGAGCCTGGGCTGGGTAGGAATTCATTACACCCAGGATGCAGAGCGCAGAGCCAGTGTGGCACGGGACGGCCATAGCTCCCACCAACAAGCACCACACTGGGCTTGTGCCGGTGCCCATCATCGTGGCCTTCTGGCTGCTCTGCAGCTTGGTTACTGATGGTCCGTCAGCTGGGGGTCAGTGGTGGTGGCAGGGGACCGCAGGCTGTGATTCATTGAGTGCGCTGTTAGGGTCCTGTTGCTCGCTGCTCTCAGCCAAGAGCAGCACATTACATGACATACATTATGATAGTGCCAGCAAAGTGGTCAGTGCCTAACTGGGATCTATTGCAGCCTGCGGAGTGGCTGAGGGCTGCAGCACAGAACATATGGAGATTATTTCCTGAATTTATGCAGCACATGTTTTCCTATAAATTAAATTCAGAGAAAATGTGTATCATAATAGGGTGATGCTCACAACAGCCTTTCCTGTTATGAATTACAATGACCTCTCTCAGCTCACTGGGTGCCCAGCGAAATGACTTCATGCAGTTGGAAACAATAGTGTGTACGTGGTGTCAGGATCTGGAAGCCTGACCAAAAGGCTCTCTAACTAAAAGCTGGGGCTTTTTTCTCCCTCTCTTGCCCTCCTCAATTGCTTCTCTCATCCTTATTCTTCTCTCTAGAGACTACACAGTTGCCTCCTGAAGGGCCAAGTTACTGAGAGGGTGTTCAGATGTCCCATTGTCTGCTCCACAGTTAACTGGGTGCTGCCCTTGCTGAGGGGCTGCTGGATGGCGAAGGCAGCTCTGGACATGGCAGCAGCCTCGCTTCATGGGTGAGGGTGCTGTGGGTTGCCAAAACAGCTGGATGGGGCCCTGGGCAGCCTGATCTAGTGGTTGTCAACCCTGTCCACAGCAGGGGGCTAGGAACTAGAAGATCTTTAAGGTCCTTTCCAACCCAAGTCATTCTATGATGGGGGTCCTCAGCGAGAATAATGAGCAAAGCATCACGTGTCTCTTCTGTGTCCTTGGACTGAGGATCTTGAGTCTTTTCTAGGCAAATATTTGGTGTTCTGTTGCCTGGGGCTGGGACAAAATAATCTTTGCCTTTTCCTTGGGTGTGTTGAAGCAGCTGAAGGGAAAATATAGTAGAGACAGTCATTGGTCATTGTAACTGTCTTCCTAAAGCAGGAAAGATAAAGTTATGTTCCTTACAACTCTGTGTGTGAAATCTTTAGTAGAGGAAATGTAGGAGCTGCCACGTTGGAGCAAATTGTAATCTCATAATTAAAATATAAATATATACACATGTGTCTGTGTGTGTACATATATATATATATATATATAAAAAGCAATGGCGTCTAGACACAGCAAAACAATCTAGGGTTTGCTTTGGGGCAAATTGCTGTGGAGTCAGTACAGACTGATAAGAGTATTTTCAGCTGTGCTTAAGGGACTTGCTTTTTCATTTGCAGCTGTTTAGAGGCTAATGGTATTTCAAAGATTTCTGAGAGGGAACAGTTCACATCTCATTGTATTTCTCTTTTTTTTTGTTTGTTTTTTATTTATTTATTTATTTTTATGTTTTATTTATCAGCCCGATACCTACCCTTAGAATAAATTTTATTACTCTCCTTTTTAGCTTCTTGAACTGAATTTTTCCCTTTGGTCCCTTGCTGCTGTCTAATTGGCAGTTTTCAAATCATTTGAGATTTTTTGAAAGATCCTATCAGCCTTTTGTGTGATAGAAGAGAATGGATCATTGGAATAAAAAAATCATGTTGCAAATCTTTTTAGGTTTACTCCTCTGTTCTTTGTCTTTCACTAATACATGCACAATGTGGCTTGTACTGTTAAATTTTCTTAATGAAAATTAACTATTTGAAAGCAACTCACGGGAACAACCAATACAGCTGAATTTCATCAGTACAGACTAATTCTGTGACTGACCTTCTCTGTTTAGTGGAAGTAGTAACCCTGGTTATTTTTCTTTAGCAGCTCGCATGTTGGGAACACACACTTAGCCTGTAAATATGGATTCAGGAGGAAAATGAATACGGCAGTGTTCAAAGCAGCCAAAAGCTTAGAAATAATGTTCTGCTGTGGCTTTTCCAAACTGACATCTTGATGTTGGGATTATAAATGAAACCATTGTTCCAGCAAAGGCCAAGACTAATAGAAAGCCTTTATTACTGGTCCATTGGCTAATTCTGCTTGTCTAACCCCGTTGGATGGACACAGTGTCAGAAAACATACTCACAGAGGTTGCTTTGTGAGAGATTTGGCCTGCTGAGTGATTACATGGGAGCACAAAGATATCTCAATGACAAGTGTTCTTTGACTAAAATTTGTAAAGTCATTTT